GGGGCGGGGGGCGAAGGCGAAGGCCCCCGCCGGGCGGCGCGAATTCGCCGCGGTGAACTGACGTTTGCGCCCCGAGGTCGACCCCCCTGACGAGGGCCACGCCCGCGCGAGGGTCCCGTGGAGCTTCGGGGGGGGTTGGATCTTCAGCAGCCGGCGACCGGTTCGGCACCACATGGAAGGGATCGCGTGGCTAAGTCGTCGGGAACTAGAACCATACTAGACGAGAATAAACGGGAGGCGGAGAGAAGAAGAGTGGTCGGGGCAGGTTTCCGCGACGATCGCGCCAGGCGACGTTGCATCACGGCACGCGTATAAACTTCTGGGATGTTTTGCTAAGCAAGGTCACCATGCGTCGTTGAATAATCAAAAAGGAATTATCGGAGACAAGTTTGAAATAACATGTGTGCACCTATACATGGTGATTAGGTCAATTAAATAATAATAAAAAGAACAAAACAACAAAACCATTATTCACAATATGGTATACCGCTTTCATTGGTGTAGTATATACGTGTTGATAGTCGCATATTAAATTGGGAAACCTTATCGGAAGCTCGGTGGCCGCCGTTTTACAGGGTGAAAAGATACGCCCTGCGCATTCCAGGTTTCATTGGCGCGATGACGCTCGCCGGCCTGGGTCCGAAAAGACGACGAAGAAGCCACCCCAAGGATGCGCCAACCATAAATCCCCCGACGTGGGCCGCATGCCCGACGGTCTGCCGGGGCATCAGACTGCGCAAGACGTCCATGTACTTATCCCAGTCGGACGCGCAAACGTGGTTGATCGCGTCCTGCAGGAGCAACATCGCATCGGGGATCACCATGAAAATCATGGAAAGCGGGTTGTGAAAGTACACCGCGTTGAAGCCGGCCAGGCCGCACACCGCGGCGCTGGAGCCGCACATCAACATCGAACGATTCACCATCTTTTGAATCCCAGCCGCGCCGTGGAGAAAGAGGCTTTGGCCAAAGGTCGTGGCGCTCTTCAGGGTGCTGGTGATCGTGCGGGAGACCACGTTGTAGCTTTCGCTCAAGGACCCGGACGGGGAAGCCGCGGATGAAAAGCACCGTAGATTTAAATGGCAGATTCTAGGAAGGGACGCGAGTTGGGTTTTTAGCATTGCCATTGCCTTTTCGAACGGGCGCTCCACCTGGATCATGTTGTAAAGCATTTGGCCACCTATCCCACCAATAGGGCCTGCCAATAATAGGATCAGAGACGAGCCGATCGCACTTTGAAAGCTAGCCCGCAGACTTTCCCCCTGAAAGGAATCGATTAAATAACAATTTTTGAACTCAAGTAAGGCGTAAGTAAGCGCGAGTGTATTCGCAAGAAAATGCTCATTGGAGAAATGTATAAAAATGTGAGTCCAGAGACAATTCGGTTTCTTTGAGAAATTATCCAGTGAAAAGCCATACTTGGAAGCACGCAGCAGGCATTCATCGTTGGTAGGCCATTGCCCGCCACTGCAGTGCACCGCGGTGAAAATGCCGACTGGAGCAAGGCGAATTAATAAAGAAAGCGGTCTAATGTTAACTATCCTATACTCCATCATTTTCGATCAAACTATATAAAAATAATGTCCGTTGAACGGTCTCAAGTCGTTAAAAGGTTCGCTCGATCTTAAGCGATGTGTAAGGAATTTGAAATATGGTTGTTGGGTGGAATGACGACGCTTTGGGGGTGAATCGATTTTTAGCAAAGATCC